TATTGAATTAGTCTTATTTAGATGAACCAGAGATGGAAATGAAAACAAACACAACTCTTAAAAGTTCGAGTTGTTGGTTGCCCATACCAAATTATAAAGTCATAATTTGCATTATATCCAGGCCCCCACCTTCACCTGCCACCTGGTTGGAGCTCCACCATCTGGCAGTAGTTCAGGATAGAACCGCTGCTTCTCCACCCCAAAGGAGTCAATGGAGGTGTTTCTGGTCAAGTCTCAGTGGAGGTTTTTGGGGTGCATCCCAACACCTCGGCATCAAGGAGCTTGAGATCATTTCTGGGAAGAGGGATGTCTCGGTTTTCTACACGGTTTTATTACCTTTGCAATCCAGCTTTGGATAAATGAAAAGGATATCTAGTTTATTTTTGCCACAGAACATTAAAAATGTGTGTATCAGTTTGTTTGATGATGTCTTTTACCAAATTCAACCTGGTTTATACAGCAGGATAATCATGCCGATTTTTGATCCGCCCCTTCCCTCCCAACAATCTTAACGATGTGCACGATTACCGTAAAAGCTCTAAAGGTAATTTTATCAGATAATCCTACCTACCAAATCCAGAGGCCGTGTCCTACAAGGCTGTGCAAATTTGAAGAATACCCAAAATGTATCCAAATTTTCCCTGAATTTCAAGGACTGGTCTGGTGTATACTGGCAAGGGCTATCCCAGGATTCACTGCAGGCTGAATGGGAGATTTCTGTTCTTATAATGGTGAACCAAGTTGGAGAAGAATGATTTTAAATGTTAGTATATTAATATCTGGTGGTAAAAAAATACTTATTGTGGTTGTGTTAAGTTTTTCCATTTGCATACTTGTTGTTTAGATGTATATTTTTATATCGGTTTGATGGGCGGCATGATGCAACGGAGCAGAACAACAAAGCTGGCATTGATCTGTTTGAAACGGCTTTGGCATCAACTTTCAGCAATTTAGATTTGGGATTTTCTTTGAGTCAAGAGCATAGAGGTACTTAAGTCCTTTATTTAGAAAAAGGATGTATTTACATTTTCTTCAATGGTGTATGGTGGACTGTCCTGTTGACTGACATCCATAGTGGTGAGTATGTCCTATTGTCCATTGTCCCATAGCATGCAGAGACAGTTTAAGACAACCGCAGATCCTACACCACGACTGAGCTTGGTCTATGGGTCACTATCTTCACACATGTATAAGAAGGCTTTCCAGGTTACGTCTTTGGGTGACTGCTCCTAAATATTTATTTCCTGACTAAAATTCACATAAAGATTTTCTTGATTTAGGATTGTTCATCCCCATGTGTCACAGTACGTGGAAATACGAGGAGGTCTGGAAGGGGAAAGCCAAACCAAATTCTTTGGATAAAATAAAGAATACTGCAGTGGCAAATAATCCAAAGGTCAAGTAGGGAGATGAGCCAGGCTCACACAACTAGAGTAAATCAAGAGAGGATGGGACGGTGAACAAAGGAATCCTGGCTGGGTAAAGGCTGAGGAAGCTAAAAGCTAAATGTAAGGCAGGTGTGCTGATCAACAAATTAGCACCAGGTGTGAGAGAAGAGCAGGAGGCAGAACTAACTAAAGAGAAGCTTATCAGAGAAACAAAACTGGGAGTTAAAACAGAACCAAGAATACAAAATGAAAAGCAGAACATTAAACATGTGAAGCATAACAACAAAAAAACCACAATTGACTGAATGGTTTAACATTTTTAAACCACAGCATATTCAACTCTAGCTCCCTGGTGATGCTAAAATGATCAAAACCCCAATATGATGGGGTTTCCCTTTTCTTATATGCAATATTTCAGTAATAAAACTAAATTAAATGCAGTTTTTTCCTTCATACATGGAACTGCTTCCCTGTAATATTTTCTAAAACGTTTTTATAAATGTAGAGACCAAAATGACTCGATCACAGTAGAACCAAAAACGCATCAAATAGCTTAGAATTAAAATAATAGATGAAAGTATTTTTTATTGTTAGAAAAACACACGTATACCCTAATTAAACTTGGTTTTATTTATCAGTCAAGAAAACATGGGGCAGACAGCGCTGCTATAAAAGTAGAGAAGAGCTGCTTGGTGGCAGAAAAAATTTTGTTTGAAGAGGTTTGATCTTTTATATTGTTGAAGCCTCTGCCCTGAGCAGTCCAGTCGTAACGAGACAAAATGATGCCTGTGCATTTTGCCATCTTTCTGCCATCTTTATTTGTGAGTTTAGCCTCCAGAAAAGTAAAAGATATACAAAAAATAAAAGCATGCTCTTAAGGTTACACTACAGATAATAAATTAATTATATTTTTCACACCTATGTTGTTTTTGTGATTGTTTGGAACTGAAAACAAATACAAAGACATCTGCACAGCTCTAACTTCTGTGTTTTACTGTTATCATACTAAAAAAACTGTTATATTTTATTTAATCATTATTTAACTTGCTGTTTAAACACTGAGCACAATCAGCACCACAACGCAAACACAAAATGATGTTAAAATTATCAAAATGTCGCAGGCAACATAACCTCTGTGTGGTAATTAAAGCCTTCTGCAGATCAACAGATGTTTTAAGAAGTCAGTCCTGCAACTACTGCAGATTTGATTTGAATAAATATCAACTTAATTTAACATGATAACATTTTATTTTTGCAGATTTCTTCTGTTTTTAGTCCAACCAGCAACCAAAAACGGTATTTTAGGAGGAATGCAGACACTTTTTTGATCCATCTTTCCTTTTTCCCACCTTGCCTGAATCCATGCGATTTCTCCAAATATGCTCAAATACTCATGGGTACCATGGATTCACACAGTGGGCAGTTAACACCTCCAAGGCACGGATAGATAAGATTCACGGTAAAAGTTGGCTAACATCTCTGAACTGACAGGAACTTTTTTGGGCATTTACCGAGTGCGACTCTTCGTAAACTTATGCTGGTTTGAATAACATCGAGAAAGCTGAGGAGAGATTGAAGTGGTGGGTTGGGGGGGGACCCTGCTCTTTGATGTGCAGGATTGAGATGTGATGAGGTCTGTTCAAAGTGAGTAAAAAGTAGTGTTAAGATGGAAAGAGCAAATACAGCTTTAGTCACGGCAGAGACACAGAGATGATAAAGAAATGTCCTGTCTCGCTCCGAAACGGAAAGAAGATGAAACGTTATGAGGCATTAAATATAGATGCTTCCATGTTAAAGTGTCTCTGATTTTGTAACCGGTGAATCTTTAAATCCGGAGCAAAGAGTGATGGTGAGCCATCACCACCATCGGTGAGATTCTGCTGTCTGTCTGGCAATAAATTATTCAGCTTCGATGCTCGTTGTTTTAAGCAATCAAGAGAAACGAACTTTAGCTGCCAAGAACTCAAGAAGAAAGCTCTTTAGGTATGTGACTGACGATGTTGATGTTTGAAGGGGAGCAGCACGAACTCACATTGGAGGAAGCTGAACATTCAGATGTTGCAGCAATAAAAGATGACAAACTTTTCAGTCAGTTGGCTTTAATGTCAAAACTCTGAGCCTGAAACGATCAATATTACTTTAGCAAAAGGAGAAAAGTCAGTTTGTTGAAGAGGTAAACTCTGATTCGTCACTGCTAACAGAGCAGTTTCAGTGGAGTGGCCCTTTTTGAACCCAGATTGGTAAGTAAGGGTCAAGCAGACAGTTTTGTGAGAGGTATTTTGTGATCTGCTTGAAAGCCACCCTTTCAATGATTTTGGACAGAAAAGGGATGTTTTTCTTTGATGTAAAGCTAACTATGTGTCTGTTGCTGCTGCCTCTTGGCCAGATCATTGTTGTAAATGAGAATTAGTTGTCAATCGACTCATCTGGTTAAATAAAGGTTCAATAAAAAATAAACGCCTCTAAAATCGAAATAACATAAGGGGTCCAAACGACCCCTTTAAGAATGGAGGGTTAAACAAAAATACTCAAGGTTGCAAGACAGAGGTGCACAAATTAACAGAAATTAAAGAAGACAGTATATGTCCTTCAAAAATCCCATCCATGTTTTCCTTCTTATCCAATGTATGGTTGGGCACTGCCCAGCTCCCCCTTGGGGGTCCCAAGGCATTCCGGGGCCAGAGAGAATATATAATCCATTTTCCTACCTTTGGGTTGTGCTTGGAAAACCTCCAAAAGAAGGTGACCAGAAGGGGTTCTGGTCAGATTTCCAAGCCACCTCAGCTACTCCACTACTTTTGATGAGGAGGAGTAGCAACTCTCCCTCAGATGATAGAGCGTTCTACTTCTACACTATAAAAAATGAAACGTTGAATTAACTTAGCCAAGTTATGTCAACTGGTTCCACTGTGCTTAAATGTAAAGAGTAATATACATTTACATTTAACGTAACAACTTATACCAGTGTACATTACTCTTTACATTTAAGCAACTGGATTTAGTGGAACCAATGGACATTTAATTTCTTGTATTGTATCTATTAAAGGCTGAATACGGCCACCCTAATGCAGAAGCTAGAACCAATAAATCAAGATCTCCTCTGATAACCTCCGTATTTAGCAGAAAGTCGTCTAATTCCAGCCAGAAATTGAGAAATTGTTTTAAAAGCTGTTGGTAAAACTTTAAATTGTTTGAAATACTTCCAAACTTGTGAAATTATTCTTGAATCTTCTCTCTAAAATCTGATTGGATGGTTTGTGTTGTTGCAGGTTTGAGTCACAGGTTGGGAAAGCGTCTGATTTCTTGGCGCTTGTTTCACCTCTGACTGTAACAAACATCAACACGACCTGCTGTGCACCTGTTAGGAGCGATATACCCAAACGTGATTTATCTCTGTAGGCTTTTGCAATATTAATCTCTCATTGAGTCATCTCATCAACGAAATTACATAATCACATTTAAGTAAATCTGAAAATGTTTCAGTAACTTCTTCTGCACTTTAAAAGAGTTGAGTTGTGCTTGCCGCTGCTGTCGTCATTGTCGGCATCATGCTGGTGCTTGTTGTTGTTTATGCCTGTTTGGATCTTTGCCCTGATTTTTCCTCTGTTGCAGGTCCAGTGGTGAAGATTCAGCAGAGAACTTCTCGCCGCCGTGGCCAGCAGCCCAAGCTCCTCAACAGCCCTGAAGACAGTCTGTACTACAACCAGCTAAATGTGAGTTCAAAGTGCCGATAAAGGCCTTTGTCTGAGTTTGGTTCCACATGATAATACAATTAAACCTACCTGTGCCAGACCCTGGAGCCCCACCCCCACACTTCCCTGTCTCTTGTCTTGAACATGTGCTTATGCTCTTTATCTGTTGCTTTCATGTCAGGATGTCTGCCTTCACGGTGAATAATTGATGTGGTTTATCAAAGCCAAGCAAGATGCATGCTTCATCAGACTCACTTGAGCCCTTTGATCAGAAAAAAATTATGCTGTGACTTCTGATATTATCAGCATCTGCTCGCATTCAACACAAAATCACTTTGAATTAAAAATTAATGACTCTCTGCTCATCTTTTGACTGTGTGCTCTTGGCCCTTTCCTCAGAGAACTCTGGATTACCAGGGGAGCAAGAGGAAGCCGAGAAAACTTGGGTAAATAACTGCTTTCCTACTTACAGCAACTCTAAACAGAGCAGGCCCTTTGTGGAATAGAGAAAATCCAGAAATGGAGTTGTTTTCCTGTGATGTAAATGGAGCGCTGAAAATACCAGAGATTTAGGAAGATCTGCGTCATTAGGAGGGGGTTACATATTAGGCTTTTGTAAGCGTGCTAATTTTAATTAATGAAGATCTGATTTTGTAAATTACATTTTGCAAATATTGTTTTTACAAATTTAAAAAAAAGTCTATTTTTCCCCCAAGATGAAAACTTCCCAATCCCAGTGACATGTCTCCTCTCACATCACAGCCAAATCAAAGTGCTGGACGGAGAGGACGAGTACTACAAATTACTGTCGACCGCGGAGTCGATCCCCGAGGAGGAGCCCCCTCCCTCCTTTTCTACCGGGCCTCTCGTCAGTCAGAGCTGAGCTTCAACGTCCGTGTCAGCCGGTGAGACAGACGCTTCAGATGAAGAGACAGACACTCCAAAGAACTTCCTGGTGTTGGAAGTGCTTCGGCACGGGGAACAAGTAGAAGTGGTGCAGGATAAGCAACTTGTGCAGGCAATGGTGGGGGCAGTTTGGGAAAGCATTAAAGGAATAGACATGAGCTGCTGCCTTTAATGCCAGTTTGAAACTAGGATCTTTTTATATAGAGAATTCCAAAATGTGATTCCCAGATTCCAGAATCTCATCCATTCACAGCCTTCGGCATGTGATGAAAATGCATCACAAGTACAGTAAAACAAAACAAACCCTAATGACAATCAGGAGGGAGGGGAAGTGGTTTGTGAGATAGCTCAGCTACCATCACTAGAAATTGTATCTCATTTCTGACTTATGTTCCTTTTAAAAAGTGTCATATGATTTTTTTTAAAAGCACGAGGGACCTAACCCTAACCCACATGGCAATAAAAATTTGTGTTGGTCCTACAGTGTGTGGTGTGCAGCCACACAGGAAAAACACACAATCAAATATTTCCAGATCAGAAGGGAAATCTCCAAGATCAAACATAACTTTGGAGTAAACATTAGCAAGTTTCCATCACGTCGCTTTCTGATTGGCTAAACATCACATTCAACAGGTAGTTTGTCCTCAAAAATCATACCAAGACAAACATGTTTGAAGTTATGATCTAACAGGTCCCGACTTCCTTCTGAGTGCTGCTAACACCCCACACGACAAGAATATCTGATAAGATTATCTTCAGAGCCATAACTATGAGTAATCTGAGCATCCTTAAGATTGTCAGGAGAGGATAGGATTATTGATTATCCTGCCATGTGCTATTGCCTGTTTACTTCTATCAAACAAATGCTTACAACAACAGGTTTGCCTTCTTTTTAATAAAACTTGTTCTTATGCTCAACTTACTCACATTGGGATTTTACTAGATGCAAAAAATGCCTCCATTAGTTCTTATTAACAGGTGAAATCGCGCTATAAATACCAAAATCTTACTCGGCTGCTGTGAAATCTTCCAGATGTTGCTCCATTAATCAAGTTAATGACAACATAAGAAAGAAAACATATTGTGCAGTGAAATTATTATTATACTAATTAGAAATATGTTTGGAATAAGGCTTGTTCTGGAGTGGAGAAATTAATGCTTAATGTCTTTATTCGTGCGTTTCTTTATTCCTTTTTTATAGACTGAAAAATCCCATTTGAGAGAACTTTAAAGACCTGAAATAAAAAAATGAGCTTTCATCTGTTTAGTCAACTAAAAAAAAAAAGATTTAAAACAAAACAAAGCCTCTAAAACTAATTGAGCCATCATTTCAGCTCCACTCCACGAAAAGTAGATCCTCATTTTGCTGGCAGCAGACCTCTAACCATAGCCGTGTTAACCTGAAACTCAAACATCTACCTATTTCCGAGCATTATGTCTCCTCTCTAATGTGGATCTAGAGACAAATCCTTGTGAAACCCAGAACTCTTTCAACGAGTTTTCCCACTGCGGCTCGCCTTAGTTAGAGGGGCATTGTGCTGTCTGAGAGCCAGAATCACCAAACGGAGCTTCACACAGGCTGAGCTCAGACCTCACTTTGAATTTCACCCTAAATACAGAAAATTTTCTTTTAAGATGTGAAGTGTCGGAAACGCAGGGCCAGCGAGTTGATCTGTGAAGCTTTTTTTTTTTCCTCCTTCTTTTCAATTTGCATATCATTTACTGCATCTCCCTTTGTTGACACCCGAGGGCCTGAGAGGAGATTTTGATCTTAATAGGAAGAGTAGGGTGGTATGAGTGAGGATCTCATCCTCCTTATACACAGCGGGGAAAACATTAGAGCTCTGCCTCTGTAGCGAGACCGGCTTCACTCAGGTTAGATTCACAGGAAACCTGGTGGGTGTGAAGAAGCCCAAACAGTTCATCAGCTGCTCGGTTTGCTGAGGTCACACGCAGGTTGAGACACTGGGGACATCACTAAAAACATTCCTGGATGTGTGTATTTTACTATTTTTATCCAAGGCTTTGGGGAGTTGAGGTGGTTTTGATGGTTTTGACTCCACCAGTTTTGTGGTTTTAACTCTGTGATTTTCTAACCAGAGCTGTGTTGTTTGTTTTTGCTAGTGGCGAGTGTTTCTGGTTTAGAAAAGCTGCATTCAACTTTACATTATTACTAGGGATGTTGGATATTAGCCTTTTTTATACCGTTGTCTGATATACGCACAAGGCCTAACCCCGGTTAGTGAAGTGGCGCGTTTTGGACACGTCCCAGAACATCTCATTGCTCCACTAAATTTATACTTCAATCATTTTTTATGTGTTATGCTTCCAGCATTTCGGACCAGGCCAGACAGGAAGTCAAACACAGGAGCAGTGTAAAACATCCAGAAACTTTCAAAATAAAAGCATGCGTTTTTCCAGTTGCTTATCCAGTTTAGAAACGTATGTAATTACCTGTGCAACCTCCGATGCCGAGGTAAAAACAACAAAGTAAACCACACGCTACCACCTCTCTCCTTGCTCGTTATTGGGTAAACTGGTGAAATCACGAGTGATCTGGCAATTCTCCAGTGATTCAGCGACCTCATGGGACCAGCTGCATGGAACGCTTCTGAAATGTTCCCAGTGGGAAGGGATGCGCTGCTGAGCTCACGTGGAAAACGCGCATATTACATTACACGTCTGGGTAACTGCTAATTTCTAAAACTAACATGAGGGGTCCCATCATTCATGCCTAAAATTTATCTCCGCAAAATATGACAACTATTTCAGTTGAAGTTAGATGCCAAAAAATTTAAATATTTTTTACATTTAAGTGAGATGAGAAGGAGCTGAAGAGTTTGATGTGTAACATATGCATGATATGTGTCATTATAAGTTTATTGCCAGACAAGTCCATTTTAAAAGAAAATAACATACAAATAAAAGAAAAAAAATACAATAAAAACACAAGAAAAGAAAGGATACCAATTTACATGAATACCAATAAGATCCTATATAAAATCACAGGATATAACTGCAGCGGGAGTACAAAACAATACTGATAATTTCCGATATTACATTTTAATACCTGTACTATTGGATATCCCTAATTATTACTGAGGCATTAATCTATAAGGAGTATTTAATTTCTGCAGCTGAACTCAAGTATTAGCAATTGATGTTTAAAAGTGGCTTCTGCTTCATTTATTTTGCCGTCGTGAAAGAGATTTAATGTGATCGAACAAATACTTCGAAAAACTCTCCAGAATTGTTCATAACTGAATTATTTGAGTAATTGCTCCTCTAATAGACTAATAAACCATGTCACACACAAATCTGATTTCACTTAAATTTCTGGCTCTTTTAATTGGACTTGTATGATTAAACTCATGTCTCCGCTGTTTATCATATTTATGTCCGTAGAAGTTCAAAAAGTGATACGCCAAAACCACTGGTGGTGTTCTAATGCGGTGTCACAGTTAGTTCAGACACATTTCACCTCCGGTCCTAGCCACAGATCCTAGAATAATTAAAATCCTCATTGTGCATTACTCCCTTGCTGGGATATTTGGTTCCTCTGAAGAGCAGCCTGAAATAGGTCACTGCAGCACCCTGTAGTGCATCTTAAAAGTACACTGAATCAATTAAGTGTGATCACGCTCCCTTGATTATTTTGGCCCTGTTTTACCACAGAGAGGAATTTCAAATAGGCTCACTAGTTTGAATAACAAGGTTGGACTGTGGTGACAAATGGTGCCAGAGAGGATGTTTCTTTCCCTGTTTTTCTCTGCCAAATTAACTCCCTGGCTGATTGCCTGCTTTAACATATGAGGGGAGGTGAGCAGAGGTGTGTTTATAATTGCCACGGATAGCTGATTATGTGTTGCAGAAGGCAAATGTTGTGAAACGTTGGCGTTATTCTGATGAAAGATATTCCTGACCTGATGAAGAGAAGTTTTTGAGGTGGGTCACAGGGGGACAGGAGCGTTTTTAAACCAGCATTCAAGACCAGTCGCACACCTGTGTTTTCTTTAATAAGTTCTTAAAAACCCAACTCACTCTTGTTTTTGCCCTCATTAAATCTGACAACATCTGGCGTGTGGGAAAGGGACTCCTTTAATGTGGCCAGCAAATTCTGCTGGTGTTTTTTATTTTTTTGCCATTTTCAGCTCTTTGCCTCACGAGCTGCACGTTCATTAGCGATTCGCCCAAACGCTGCCATCCAGAGTTTTAAACCACATTCATGAAAATTGAGCGGCAGCCTCGACAAATGATGAAAAGCTTTTATTTTCTAAAGAAGCATGCTTACCTTTTCACCTAATAGTGATGTCTCACTTCAAAGAGCGTGCTCGATTAGGCCAACATTGTCCTGGTTCTATACACTTTGAGTTCAAAAGGAGGGAGTTTCAAGAGTTGCAGCATTTCATGTGCAGCCCTCTTCGTACCCAGTTGTGTCCGTTTTTCCACACTGGATCATGGTTGCATAACTTTTATGTAAAGAATTAACACAGAAGCTTGTTTTATCTTTTTTTTTCTCCTTCTGCAAACCTCAATTAAAGGGGACAAGCACATGCCTAAAATAGCTGCAAACTCAACATTGTGACGTTCTTTGGTTGCTGATGAATGAAGAGGGTAAAATACATGAGCCTGAAACAGATGTCAGACGTTTGTCGAAGGGCTCCGAGCAAAGGGAACGCTCCCAAAAGACGGCGTTAATAAAGAAACTGGTTGAGCCTGGTTGAGACACAAAGAGAAGGGGTATAGAGGAAGGAGATAAAAGAGTCTGAGTGCATACATCAAAGCTCCCTTAATGATGAGGGATGCCATTAGGGTTACCGTGGCTTTTGTTTCAGCGTTCTCTCACCTGGAGTTTGTTGAGGCCGCTATGTTTTGTTTTTCCAATTTGCATGAATATAAAATGTATGCAGTCAGGGATAAGAGTTGGTCCCTGGTTGCTGGTCTTAAAGCAACACTAAATAAGTTTCTTCCTTCTCCCTCCTGCTGGTTGAAAGAGGGATTTCAACTATCGTAAACAACGCTGCGACAGTGTGCTGTAGCTAGCTAATGCTAGCACAAGTCGACTGATACAAAATAAGCCACAGAGTAAAAGGACACACACTGCTGGACTAAAAATATTATCATTTACAAGTCCAGTAGCAACAAGGCTAGGCCACCATCAGTCTGTGATTTTGTAAAAGGAAGCTAAATTCTTCCTCAGCCACCTTTGGAGTAGCTCGAGATAAAAACTTGCGGATCGTGGCTTCAATCGACATAAAAACGAGTTATGTCTAAGCTATAAGGATGTCCATGACAGCGTGTCGACAGCATTGAGACCACCCCCACATCCCCTTGATACCATCATCATGTTAACTTTTGTGAAAAACACATCAACTTCTAAAGTTGGCAACCCTGTGATCGTACCACATTAGCGCCACAGGCTCCTTGATGCTGCCTCACCTTGGCAGCAAATTTGCGCTATTTTTTATGAATGAGGCTTAAATAAGCCATGAAGTAAAAAGATGCACTAGCTAGTTGTTAGCTCTTTCAGTTCGCCCACTGTGAATAAAAAGCACAAGAAGACAAAGAGAAGGATTTAGCTTTATTTGTTTGCATCATTGCGCAGCCTGGGAGTAAAAGTAAGGGAGCAAGGCGAAGCAAAGGGCTAAAACCAGAGTGAACGTCAGCAGGGCCTACATTCGTTTGAGGGAGCTGAAGGAGGCTACAAAATCAAACTGATGGTGACCTGACTGTGTTGCAACTGGAATTGTTATCATTTTTGTCCAACTGTGTGGATCCTTTTACTTTGTGGCTCATTGTGTATTGGTTCATGTTAGCGTTAGCTCGTTGTTTGTGCTAGCTACAGCTGGGTTGGTTACAACATTGTCATACCACTTTCAACCTGTAGGAAGGAGAAGTGGAAGACTTAGTGTTGTTTTAAAGGTGATCAAATGTTTATTTATTTATTTTTTTTTTTTTTTGAGGGGACGGAGTCAAAACCCCTTTTTTCCCAACCACAAACTGAGAATAGAAACAACTCCGAAGAGCTGTTATCCCATGTGCTATGAAATTTAAAGTTTTCTTGGTGCCTCCGGTGATGGAATTAGATTTGACAAATCAGAGCGTGAAATTAAAATGAGCCTCTCTCCGGCTGCAGACGGAGTGGGACACAGGCAGGCTTGGCATGGCCGAAGGTGTAACCTGTTTTTGTTTTGCCCCAGCTCTGCTCGCCCAGATGGTGGGACCAGCTGTCACTGAATAAACGCTGGACTACAAACAGTGTGAGAATTATCACGGCCTTGTTTCGGTTTGGGATGCATCACGGACTGCTTGTCGCTTTTTGGCCACTGCCAGGAGGAACAGGAACTTTCACCTGGTTCTCAACCAAGCGTACACTTTTCACTTTTCTTTAATTTGTGCAAATTTCCATCAGTTTTATTTACACTGATCTAAGAACCAAGTTGGGAGTGATTATGGATTCATGTGTGCTTCTCTTGCACAAACTCTTATGTTCATGTTGTTTCTTATATTTTGGACCTTTTTACACGTTAACTATTAATAATCAAAATATATTTTTAATTATCATGAAAATAAAGCTCAAGAAATCATATTTTTGTTGACAAAAACATGCATTTCTGAACTCTCAGGGTTCCCAATTTTGTATTAATTTGGAGCAATCAAATACTGAAAGGCTAAAATTGTGCTTGTTATAATTTTTGTAATATAAAGGTATTAATATTGAGGTAGTCAAAATGTAATGTTCAACTTTTTACTCAAATCATATTTTTATAAAACAGTTTAGTTAAGATTTTTTTCAGTGCATTTACCAAAAAGTTGAAAGAGTTGGTCAGGAAAAGTATGTATATACGATTTTCCCGTCTTTGATACTTGTCAGAAAAAAGGGAGTTGGAGCACACACCAGCATTTCCTACTCCAATCACTTAAGAACAAAATATTTATTTCTTAAAATAATTGCTCAAACTTTTTTTTTGAAACGTAAAATGTTTCACTTTGTGTCTTTAAAGTGAGTCACAAACCTGACAACAGTCAGAAATAAGAAAAATCAACCTCAGAAGTTTTACAATTTTGTTGTTTTGTGGATTGAAACTTCAAAATTATGGAGTTAAATGGTGTTTATGAAGGGAGTAGATGCCACAATAATTAAAATAATATATTTTTAGCAACCTTTTGTATTTTTAAACAGTGAATAGTTAAACATTTAAAGTAAATGTTTGCACTTAAATATCCTTAAATTTACCCAAAGGTAACATAAATCTGACAATACAGGTTTTTCAAACTTGCATTAATAAAGACACAAACGAAAAGACTCAGTTTTGTTTTTAACTTGATTCTGACTCAACAAATTAGCCCCTTTTATTATTTTGCATTCATTTTCTAGATAGTTTATTATAGATTATTCAACGTTGTTCATAGTCAGCAAAAATGTAAACATGTATAGAAGATTGCAGCTTTTTTAGTTGTTTGCTCTTGTCTCAGAAAGGTGAGCCAACCACCTGTTGTGTGAAGCTGAGCTGTCCACAAATTAAAAAAGTTTCCTGTTTTTTGCATCTTGCAAAAGCTCCATGAAGCATGCAATAGCTCAATCTGCAGAGGCACAACACATCAGCATTTAAAGCACAAGTTTTTGAAGTTGTGTCTGTAACAAATGTTTTATTGCTCCCAAATATTGACGTGACGTCTCAGTTTGAAGGTGATGCCTTTTATTATAACCCCTGAGAGAGGGAGAGCACGGCAGGCAGGAACCTTGTACATAATCATAGAGGGAGCAGAGATTTCCTCTTTAAGGTTGGATCAACGCACCCAGGGTGGGCTGAGAGGAGGTAAAATGACCTGCCCCGCCTTACGTGACCCGGGGCCAACCCTGCACATTGCCAGGTCTTTGCTGCTTCCTCGTGAATATGCAGAGGCTTCCTACCTTCGGAAGAGAGACAGAAGAGGAACAGAAAAAGTTGTATCGCGTTGCAGGGGAAATTAGTGAGACCAAAGTTGGAGTTTCTGTGTGTTGGGGGCTGCGAACAATGGCAGCTTTCTGTCAGACAGCAACTTCAAAGGTCTGCTGAGTGACTGCTCTGAGTTATACTTTGTTGTAGATCACTGAGGAAATTCACAGATGTTTTCTCATACGAGACACCATTATAGCAGCTCAAGTACCCAGTAGCCTCCAGCATCTCTCCCCCGTCTCTCTCTCTCTCCCTCCCACACGCTCACCCCCCATATCCCCCCGAAAGTCTCTGAAATGTCTTGTATGAGACAGATGTGGAACCCGCTTTTTTCTGCTTCAACTGTCCAGAGAATATGGAAGTTAAAAAAAAACAAGTTTGTCCACGTTGCTCACTTAGCATCCACACGTCCGTCATGGATCACACATAACTGTGTGAACTAGGGCTGGGCGATATGACCTCAAATCTATATTGCGATATAATCTGAAGCATATGCGATAATGATGTTTATTGCGATATGTTTTTTCCTCTTTTAATAAACGTCAGAATGGCATGCTTTTAAAAATCCTTATATGGAAAATAAATTACAGCAAAAATAAAGATGTCCAAAATGTGTAGAATGCTCCTCCTCCGCCCTCTCCATGCTTGCAGTCACTGCCATTCTGTTGTCCCAATGTCGACGCAGGTGCACATCTTAGTGATGTCATGTGTTACCGCGATAGAGCCAAAAACTATCATTACCCAATTTTATATCATTTCTACCTCATATCGTTTATATTGCCCACCCCTAGTGTGAACGTCATAGTAAAATTAAATTTTCTCTTTTCCTTCCAGGTGGCCTTCTTCAGAACCAAAACCAACTGGATCTCAACACTCACTTGAATTGTAAATGTGTATTTATTTATTTATAGTAAACTGCTCTTTTATATGAGTAAAAAAAAACGCTTTTAACAATCATATTTTTGCAAATAGTCTGTTTGCATTTGAGTATTAATATTGATGTATTTCTATCATGAGGGTTTTGTGAGGTTTAATCTCATCTGTGATGTTTTTAAGCTGTAAAAGAACATCCCTGGTTCATTTCTGACATGTTAAAGGGACACGGGGTGGTTTTGGCATGCTTTTAGCACCCCCTAGTGTCCGTTTGCATAACCGAAAGCAAAAACCTACCTCCTGGCTGTCTTTTTAACACCTTAGTCTAACAGCTGAAACATCTCCCCAGGCTTCCTTGGTGTCTACAGGAATGATTCATCACTAAATTAAACAAATCAGCTAAGTTTGTGATCTAAAACATGCAGGAAACGTGCTGGAACCAGACTGCAGCACCAGGTATGCCAGTCCCAACAGAGCGGTTGCCAGTCTGAAGTTGCGAGTGGGATATGCTGGCCACAGGGGGTGATTAACCCTGTAACTTTAGCCATACTGGCTCAAGAAAATGATTTCTGAATGTGAAAAAGTTGCAGAGTATCCCATTAAATAAATGTACATCCAATTAAATCTGCTATTATGAGCAGCAATCACCATTTGAACTTTCAGAAACTGGTTTCATTGCTTTTAGAATTACGATTTTGTTCAAATTAGCGATACAGTAAGATGTAGGCGTACTTCTATTTTTATTTACTGTATTGTTAAAAATCCTTGCGTCCGTTTCCCTCTGCGTTTTGTTTTCCATCATTACAAAACCAAAGTTTCTTTTACTCAATGGTTGCGTGAAAGACACGAATGGAGGTGCTGACTGATCTAAAACTCTGAGTTTACAAGCAGAAAACTACAGCTGTGAGTTTCTTTGAGTTCATTTTATTATTAAAAAATGTTGCCGTAGGACATACTCCATTTGAACCAAGCGGCTGCTGTGGCGATGCTGAATATCCTCCCGCCTCGGCCATGAGATGGTGGAAGTTTGGAGCAGCTAAATCACCTCGGGGACTCCACATTGTGTCGAGTACACGGCTGTGAATTTCTAACAAACTGTATCAAAGTCCTGCCCAGCCAAATCCATCTCACAGCTGGAGTCCTATTGAGATTCATAAAAATGTAGGAGCTTGAATTTAAGGCTGAACCGAGCATCTTAAAGAAGGATATCAATAATTTTTGTTGCTGATGGCACTGAAATCATCTAGTTGTTTACACGTGGTTGAAATTGGGCCTTTTAGCTGAATAACGAAGATCCCCACCCTAAATCAAAGGTCTAAATGTGCAATTTTGATGATTTAACATTAAAATTATGGTTTGGTTTTGAGTGGATTCAGAGTTTATGTCACCAGTTTTGTGGTTTGACATTAAATGATGAGAGCATGAGAAGTTTACATGACAATAAAACCTGGGAGTAAAGTGACAACAATTTGATGCTTAAATACAAAGTTCTGTGAAGATTGACACAGCATGCACAAGTGCATGACTTCCACACCTCAGGTTCATCCCCTTGAGGATAATTAGACACTGAAGCCCGCTAGCCACCCGAAGGCTGCAGAGTGGAGACAGGAGTAACAGCTAGGATGGTTGCTTTCTCAGCGATGCGTCGACCATAAAATGGCATTCAGTTTAAAAATGTTTCTGCAAGCAAAAATGCTTTAAAAACATAGAGAATTATGCAAACAATTGAGAGAATGCTGATTTATGTTTGTTTGCCAGCACTTAGATATCTTTTTAACCATCTGGCAGCTACTGTGGAGCAGACTTTAGTCTCTATTTCCTATCAAAACATGGACTGACCTTAATAGAAGAAATTACTAATATTCTTAAAAATATTGAGATATTTGACAAATAAGTCAAACTTTATTACCTGACAATGTTATAGTCTTAAAGGGGACATCCATCCATTTTCAACCGCTTGTTCTTAATTGGGTCGCGGGGGAAGCAGCCTAAGCAGGGAGGCCCAGACTTCCCTCTTCCCAGCCACTTGGGCCAGCTCCTCTGGGGAATCCCAAGCCGTTCCCAGGCCAGCCGTGAGACATAGTCCCTCCAGTGTGTCCTGAGTCATTCCTTGGGTTTCCTCCCAGTTGGACGTGCCCGGAAAACCTCCTCAGTGAGGCGTCCAGAAGGCATCCTGACTAGATGCCCGAGCCACCTCAACTGGCTCCTCTCGATGTGGAGGAGCAGTGGGTCTACCCCAAGCCTCTCCCAGATGACCGAGCTTCTCACCCTATCTCTAAAGGAGAGCCCAGCCACCCTGCTGTGAAAACTAATTTCGTCCGCTTGTAGCAGTGATCTCATTCTTTCGGTCACTACCCAAAGCTCGTGACCATAAGTGAGGGTAGGAACGTAGGTCGGCTGCTAAATCGAGAGCTTCACTTTCCGGCTCAGCTCTCTCGTCACCACGACAGACCAGTACAAAGCCCGCAGTACTGCAGACACGGCTCTGATCCTCCTGTCGATCTCACGATCCATCTTTCCTTCACTTGTGAAGAAGACCCCGAGATACTTAAACTCGTGTACTTGAGGCAGGACCTCATCCCTGACCTGGAGGCAGTATTCTACCCTTTCCTGATTTAAGATCATGGTTTCTTAAAGGGGACAGATGATTTATAATTTATAATAGGACTGTGGTCAATACAAAACGTGTCCATGAACTTTTTTGAACAAAATCAGTCTTGCATGAAGCTATTTTGACATTTGACAGGGCAGCTGTGGCTACATTGTAGCTCATCATCAGTGTGTGAGTGTGTGCATGCATGGATGGATGACCGATTGTGTTAACATCTTGAGGGATTGTAGGACCCTAGAAGGTGCCATACAAATACAGGCCATTTACCATTTTCAGAACTTTCCAGAATTAACCACTTCAGGACTCTGACACTATTGATGAAACGGTGTGTAGTTTCCTGGCACTAGGGGGCAGTAGACATAAATTTCAGGGTAGTTTTTCACCAAATCGTTGTGACGGTCCCTAGTTTAAAAAAAAACATTTCGGTAAATGTTACCCGTCCAGCAGGATGCACGTGACCTCGGCGTGACTCCTCAGACTTTGATCCTTCAGTTAATTCTATCCAGAGGACGTAATGCCAATGCTAGTTTTCTGGCAGGTTCAGTACCTGCTCGGGGTCCTGCACCTGTCGATGACATCACACTACGGTAATACCTCTCGGCCAAAATATAGTACACCGCTTTTTACAGCGGAAAAGGGTGGCTTGCCAACTCCGGGTCGGGGGAGAGGCCCTACCTCAAGTGGAGGAGTTTAAGTATCTCGGGGTCTTGTTCACGAGTGAGAGTAGGAGGGATCGGGAGATCGACAGGCGGATTGGTTCGGCATCTGCAGTGATGCGGACGCTGAGCCGATCTGTCGTGATGAAGAGGGAGCTGAGCCAGAAAGCCAGGCTCTGGATTTACCGGCCGATCTACGTCCCGATCCTCACCTATGGTCATGAGCTTTGGGTAATGACCGAAAGAACGAGATCACGGATACAAGCGGCCGAAATGAGTTTCCTCCGTAGGGTGGCCGGGCTCAGCCTTAGAGATAGGGTGAGGAGCTCGGACATTCGGGAGGGACTCGGAGTAGAACCGCTGCTCCTCCGGATCGAAAGGAGTCAGTTGAGGTGGTTTGGGCATCTGGTCAGGATGCCTCTGGACGCCTCCCTGGGGAGGTGTTTTGGGCATGTCCTGCCAGCAGGAGGCCCCCGGGTCGACCCAAGACACGTTGGAGAGGTTACATCTCCAATCTGGTCCGGGAACGCCTTGGGGTCCTGCCGGAGGAGCTGGTGGAGAAGGCCGGGGAGAGGACGGTCTGGAGCTCCCTAGTTGGAATGCTGCCCCCGCGACCCGGGCCCGGATAAGCGGAGGAAGACGACGACGACACTTTTTAAATTCTGTTCTTTCACATCGATTTTAAAGAGTTTAGATGTTTTGTTATTAAATTCATGTTTCTTACCATAAATGTTTTCGAAACGTTGTAAAGTAACTTCCATAAGTCATACGTCCAGCCAGTCGTCTAGTGTGACATCATCATCAGGCGCATGACCCTGAGCCGGCTCACATGAGAGAACATGGCATCTAATATGCCGTCCTCCAGAGACTTTGACCAGCACCCATGTGTTTTAGATTTTTATGGTTATGCAGCCGCCATGTTGGTAGCTTTGTTACTTGTTTCTTGTTACTTCAGACAACAGAGTGCTAAGTCTTGCAGCTTCATTCAATCTATTATTCATTTGAAATATTGGACAATTCCTGTCCATAGGCTTATAAGATTGTAATCTGAAATGGGAGGTGGCCACCACCGCCATTTGGATTATGTCACACGTTAATCGTTAAAATCCACTAACACCACAAACAAAAAAGCCAAAAATGTCAGTTATGCAGAGCTACAGCAGCAGCAAGTTTGTGCTCTGGTCTTGGGTCTGTCATATGGATCCAAACCGTTTATAACGCTGATGTTGTCCACACATCAGTCCCTGGCTTCCCTGTTTGATGAATCCCTGTATATTCTGCATCATTTTCGCGATTTTAACCTGTGTTTACCTCATTCTTTCTCCCAAATCTGCTTTTCGTCTGCAATTTACTGTTAGTTTCCATGATTTGTTTGCACTCGTGAGGCTACCTACATGTGCGCCACGTCCCAAAATGCACCACATAATCACACGTAATCACAAGCTCTATCCTGGACCTGGAGAGCCGCTATCCACCATTTATAGTTATTTCCCTGCTTTACCTCACCTGATTCAATGGTTGAATCACCTGTTCAGTAGGTCATCAGTCTCACCTGTGGCTCATCGGCACCAATGAGTTAGTAGTGAAATAGTGATTGTAGTGTAAAGCAGTTGGTATCTGTTATAAATGTTTCAAAGGATGATGAAACATGAAGAATCCTAATAATCACAGCTCCTTTGCAAATTTGATGATCACTGACTAGTGAAATTATTGCCAAAGATTATTCATATACCTCCAAAGCTGTTATGAGTGAAAAAGCATCACTTTTTTTATTTATTATTACAGAAATAATCCAGTTTAAACAAGATGGCTCAAAAAGCTTCAAAGGTCCTTATTTTAAAAGCAAAACCAGCCTTTACAGTTACCCCAACATGATGTAAACAGAGTTAATCTCCCTTTTTGTCTTTTTAAAAAATGTATGTGACTATTGCAGCCATAGTGGTGTTTAACATGGCTCCAGTTCAGCCCAGCAGGACTCCCCCTTTCCCTCATGACTGTGTGTAAAGCCGTGGGAGAGGACTGGGAACATTAATCCCATCAAAGGAACAGATCTAATTCAAAATCTGCCGCTCCAAACTAGTTGAGAGGACAGTGATTGTTTCTGCAGGGAAGCCTGATAAAGATCACAGAGCTGAACTACAACTTTTCATTTCTGCCACCAAAAGGAAAGTTTTGGTTATTATCTGATGAAAGCCGCATCGTTTTGCCTTCATTAAATGTTCTGGGAAAAAAAATAATAAAATTACAGGTTTTCTTTAAAAAGATGTTTGGATGTTTTTCTGCTCTAATCAAGACATCTAAACAGCAAATGTTTAAGTTTGACAATGCATCCAAGTGAGATATATAAACACTTGATGGATCATCACTTGGATTATCTGCTGAGAGATATCCCTGCAGGCTCTGATGTCAGAACCATTTTTACACAATAAAGGAGGGAAAAATGTTTAAATGTAAAATCAGCTTCTGATAAAACAAGTGATTGAAATGAAAATAATTCAGAGCGGGTGTAATTATGTGTTTAATGCCAAGCTGCACAGTTCAAAGGCACAACAAAAGCAAAATTTAATTCTAATTAGAATAAAAAATAGAGAGGCAGATTCATCGGAGATGAGAACTTTGTGTTGAGTCACTTGATTTTGGTCTCTTCTCCATCAAACAGTCGCTCTTGGAGATCTCCAGAGATAACAATGTCACATTGTCACATAAGGTTCTGCTACAAATCCTTAATTACAAATAGAGGATCAGATGAATACAGCATCCAATGGCGGGGTCTCCAGGCGGCGTGGAGGTCTTTGATCAAGAAAATCCAATTATTTGTGTATATACATTTCCCACATAGTGATTACTTCATTAATTGTCCCGCCTTTATCTCCTCCCTTCCCAACCCCCCTAATAATCAGCTCCTTTATCCAGACCAACAAACACACCATAGGAGCTTTGTGGATTCAAAGGATTTGCTTTCCCCTCTCAAAGAGCCGCTATTCTTTGATGATTGGGCAGCGGCAAACTTCAAAGTAATAAATCTTATTTCTGACTGGCTGGCGGCCCACCAAAGTCTTTATCAAATTCTAAAAAGTGATCCCTCACTCTTCAGATACACAGAGGATATATCGGAGAGAGGAGGCACAGGAGAGCCCGCTCGACGCGCACATTTCACTCCGAATGCGCATATTCATCCAAATTACTGCGCTTATTTATTATTATTATTATTATTATTATTAGCTGTTTGGCTTCGCGAGGAGGAGGACCCTCACCATGGCAGCTGTGGCTGTTCTGCGGAATGAAACACTGCAAGCTTTTCTCCAGGTTTGTGCGCAACTTCATTAACTTCTAAATGTTCCAAAAGAGTTCTGTGTATTTGAGGGTTGAAGACACAAGGAGGTACTTTTTTAAATATTGATTTATTATCTGAAACAGCATGGCATTAATTTCAGCTGTTGTTTATTTTTTCCAGTGTAATTATTATAAACGTGTTTTAAGTGCCTTGAATGGTGATTTTTATATCAAACGTGTGCTTCCCAGGACCGGACTCCTAACTCTTCTCCTGAGAACTGTAAACACTCTCCGTTGGCTCTTCTGGCTGCAACTTGTAACCGGATCGGGCACCACCCGGGGTCCAACCCCCCAGATTTCCTCCAGGTTCCCTACGACCCCACTCTGGGCTCCCCGTCGCGTTTATTTCACCCGTGGACTAACGAGGGGCCCCCCCAGAGCAGCCTGACCAGCAACTCCACTTTCGGACTATCCTCCAAGCCCCAGCTGTCTGCGCACCTCCAGAGCTCCTTCAGCTCCCACCACGAACTGCCCCTCACCCCTCCGGCGGACCCCTCTTACCCTTATGACTTCTCCCCGGTCAAGATGTTACCTTGCTCCATGCAGTCCACCTGCCCCCCGACCTACGTCCCTGCCGTCAGTTACGCACCGACGCCCATCCCGCCCGCCATGCCAAGTTTTGTCACGGGACCCTCCGGACTTGTCCACCAGCAGCAGAGACAGTTGTCCCCAAACCCGGGGGAGGACATTCCGTGGTGGAGCCTCCAGCAGGGGAACCACGTGAGCCACTCTTCCTCCCTCGGTCCTCACCGCTTCCAGCTGCAGAGAGGCTTGGTCCTGGGCCACACGGACTTTGCGCAATACCAGACGCAGATCGCCGCTCTGCTGCACACCAAGTCGCCGCTGGCGACCGCGCGGAGGTGCAGGCGGTGCAGGTGTCCCAACTGCCAGTCCTCCACCTCCAGCGACGAGCCCGGCAAGAAGAAGCAGCACATCTGTCACATACCGGGCTGCGGGAAAGTTTACGGGAAAACGTCGCACCTGAAGGCGCACCTGAGGTGGCACTCTGGCGAGCGGCCGTTCGTGTGCAACTGGCTGTTCTGCGGCAAAAGTTTCACCCGGTCGGACGAGCTGCAGAGACACCTGAGGACTCACACCGGGGAGAAGCGCTTTGTGTGTCCGGACTGCTGCAAGAGGTTCATGAGGAGTGACCATTTGGCCAAACACGTCAAAACTCACCAGAATAAAAAGAGCAAGTGCCACGATAAGACGCTGGAGCACGTGAAAAGAGAGGACACGAGGAGTATGCTGTAACACACCTGTAGTCATTAACACACCTGTGCAATACACTCACTCAGAGTCCAAGTGCATCAATGAGCTACGTTTCAGTCCCTGGTTGGAAACTTTTTTTTACACCGGCTCAAGTTTCCTGGTCTGTGTCACATTTCTGTGTAAATATAAAGTTTAATTTGGGACCAAGTTTGGATTCCCTGTATCTTAACAAGGAGGACAAGTTTTCAACTTGTGTTTCTGGATCTTCTGTGGAAGATCTCACCCCCTGTAAATGATATAGCTTTTGTTGAAAGAAAGTGTCTGTTTCCTTGCTCCACATGGGGGGTGTTTTAAAGCATGCTCTTGAACAGATCTGCTTATTGTTGACATGACCCAAATGCTGTGTGAGAATAAAAGTTTTAACATTTTATAGATCTCAGAAGAATTCATTCAGGTTGACCGGTTTAGATAAATCCAACCATTTCCCACTAACTTATTCAGTTTTCATCCGTCGCTGAAGTTCACAAAGTTTTCATCAATATTGATTATTTCAAAATAAAATGTAGTCTTTTTACACAAACTGAACAGTGTAAGGTAAAAAAAGAAAATCAAAGTTTTGCAAAAGTGGACATTTCTAAATTTATTTCTGTTGTGCAAGAAATGATGCATTGGTTGAGTTCAGGTTGAATTTCTATACTAAATGTGTTTATTTCAGATTTCAGTTTGGTCAATTTTAAACTAACAAGAAATCTAGATTATTTTTTTGAAAGTTGGGTCAGTTTTTGTGGTTCTGTCAGACTTTCTTCGCTGCTTCGAGGGAACGCTGCAGGCTGAGAAAAAGAGAAGTTAGGGGAAACTTGCCTGCATATTTTGGAGTTTCTTGCAGAAAGTGGCGACGAAGATGTGTGTCGGGTTTAGCTGCAGATTTAGACCTGATAAAGAGGCAGACTCTCACTCTTCTGGTATTCCACTTTTGCACATTCTTGTTTCTTAAATGAAAACATTTCCATTCCTGAAACCGCTCAAAGAACAGGGTTCTTATCTAATAGATCTGATGATAAAAGTCATTCAGTCATCCAGTAATAAGTAAATCGTTAAGTTATTCTTTTTGTCACATTTTGGATCAATGAAGTTGTCAGATCTGCCATTCTGCAAGTTTCTGCCTCAACAGCGCCCCCTTTTGTCAGCTACAGGAACTCAAAAATACAAAAAAATCTGATAAATGTGAGTAAAATCAAATCAAATAGCTTATTAGTTATTTTTATGCAATTTTAAAGAAACTTTGTAAATAGCTGTCGACTAATCCGGCTTTACAGTGAACTTGGATCAACTTTTTCTTTCAGTTTAAATCATTTTCAAAGTAGGAATTATAATTAACACCGTTATTGGATGATATTTGACCTTTTTAACTGTAAAGTTTTGACTGTTTTTCTTTTAGTTATGAGATAACTCACGTGGGCAGAAACGTTGGATGGAGCCAGAGCGTCTCCTCGAAAAAGGCTTAAATTTGGTTTCACAGTCCGAGATGAAGCGGTGATTCTTTAACTCGGCTGGAGGCTGTGACGCTGAACTCTCCACACTGAGACCAGAACATGCTGTAGCCTTTATTTAGTCATTTTTGTTTTTCTTCTGATTTGATCTGATTCTTAATTCGTACGATACGTTTTCATAAAACTAACTATAGATTTTAGGATTTCAGGATTCTTTGATTATCATTCTGCAAAAATAAACATGCTGATTACACCTTAAACATTACAAGAACAATAATATTAACCCTTTAGCTACACGTGAAGAAAAAGCACAGACAAATTCTCATTTTAATGTTTATTCAAGGGGAAATAAAAGCTAATAATTTATTAAAGTATATTCACAGTAGTTATGCTATTAATGACCCTTGAAAGAAACTCACTGAAAAACACTTCAAACATTTAATTGACTTAAAAAAAATTACATTTTTTCAACTTTATAAGTTCTTAATGTTTTCCTCACTTTTTTTAAAGTCATTGTTTACGCTCTTTTGTCAATTTAAAACACTTTTTGGTATATCAAGAGCTAACATGGTCAAATATGGTCATTTGTCCTATAAAGATAATCATTTAATATTAAATTAATGTATGTTAATAATATTTAACTTTTTTATTCTAAAATCTCCATATTTTGTAGACTTATTGTTTTTTTTAGTATCTATTTTCCAGTTAAGTTAAATTTAGTTTGTGCTACAATTGCATATAATGAATAAAATGTTTTTACCAAGCAGTTGACATGCAAGTTAAAGGGTTTGTTTAAGTGATAGCTAAACGCATATTTCAGGCAAACAGAGATGGTGGTTGTAGAGTTCTGTATAAATGATCACAGCAAAATAAACCCGACACGGCAGTTTTCACAGAGGTGCTTACAGAAAACTTGACATTTAGTAAACAACAAACTGGCTTCAATTCAAAGATACTTTATTAATCCCAGAGGGAAATTATTATCATTCCTTATCCTCCACTTGTCCAGTTTCCTTATTTTATTAGTAACTAAATGCAAAATGTGCTGTCACAGTCAGAAATAGTGAAACAGCAACCAGAGTCTGAAGAAAAATGTTGATGTACTTTTAGAAAGTTTGGAGAAATAATGATCATCTTCCTCCCTGGTTGGAGGAAGGGGACACCCTGAACAGGTCTCTTGTCCATCACAGGGATAGTTTAGGGTTGCCTATTAACCTGAACATGCATTTATTTGGTCTAATGGAAGAATTAGTAAAAGAAAACGAATGCATTCACATATAGAATGTGCTCATTCCTGCAGAAAGGCTGGAGCAGGGATTCAAACCTGCAACTTTACTGTAGTACACCAAACTGCCCCACCTTGCAGCCCCTCCTCCTTCATTATAAAGGGACAAATAAAGAGAGAGGCTTTAAACTTTGGCACAGTATTGACGGTTGATTAACTCCTCAAAAACCAGTCTTAAAAACAGGATTATCTGAGATTAGAACACAAACAGATGTAATCTGAGATGCCTCCACCATGCAGTTATCCTCCAGAACTTTACAGACCTGGAACCACAGACCCACTCAGTAAAACCTAGGACATCAGGATGACGTCATGCTTCCATGACCCTTGAAGGTCTGTTCTCCCACTTTTTTCTATTCCTCTGATTGTTACACAACTCATTTTATCCATTTACATTTTTATGAGAAAATTAAAGGATTGTACTTTTGTTCGCATTAATTGGCTCTCAAGGAAAAGAGTAGTAATGGGTGTTTAAACCATGAAAAATGGCTAAATTGGATTCAGATTTGACTTCTTATATCCAGACGTATAAAAGTGCTGCGATAAAGAAGAAATTTCATGCCAGTTCTGATTAAAATGACAACGAGAGGCTTGAGTGAGGGGTCAGACGGAGTTGGTCTCACGCTGGGCTTCATGTTTTATACATCAGTGCAGTGATTAAAATGTAATTAAAACATGCAGTTTTTTTTATAACTACCTCTCTCTCTCTCTCTCTCTCTCTCTCTCTTCATATGTAAATAAGTTTAGATGCAGACAAACATTTATGAAGCTTCATAAACAAAACAACTAATAAATATAGAAATCTGGAGTTATAAACCTTATCTATATTCTGCTGCTTTGTCTTCCATGAGTTTAATCTTTATAAAAAAGTAACTTTAATATATTAAAATAAGGATTTACAATTGTATTAAGAGTCATTTTAGTTATATCCGGTTCTTTTGACTTAAAATACCTTGTAAATTCCTCACCTGGTTTGTAACAACATATTTGAACCCTCTGTTTAAAGTCAAACATCACGTGAGAATCTAGATTGTTCTTTGGCTGATTTGTGTCTGTTTTGTGCAAATTTCTGTTCATCATTTGTTTTGTTTTTTTGTGCTTGAGGGCCTCATTTTCTCATAGTTTAAAGTCATAATCATCAAATTTTTAAAGTAAATATTTGCAGAAACAAGCTGCAGAATAACCGAAACACACATGCTGGCATCGTTAGACTTGATTTAGACCTTCATTCTGCTCTCAGACGAGACTAAAAATAATCATTAATGAAGAACTAAAACTGCAGGCATCTCATTCTTTTCTTCTACTTTTACTTCAAGCGCCCTCTTGTGGACAATTACACACAACTAATGCACAAGAAGACCAAATCCATTTTTTGGGACATCTGGTATTTTGTTGTAATCATTCTACCGACTAAGGAGAGGTATAATTACTTTGTTTCATTTAAGCTCATTGCAGTAGTGTAATCATAGCAGTCATTAAATGTGAACAATAAGAGGAAAATAATGAGAATTGATGCATGACTGGAAAGGAGCAGGAAATGACCAGTTTATGCATCAGGGTGTTTACATTGATAAAGCAAATACAAAATGATAATTAAAAACTGTAAAGAAAAGTTTTAGAAATGGATTTCCTTTAACAAAGTGTGTGTGCGATAGTAATATGTGGTTTATCATCTCCCTGCTTCTGTATTCTGTCCCTATTTGCTCTTTCTGCAGGTAAACTTGAGCTCCAGCATTGAAAATCTTGAAAAATCCATTTTATTAACGCAATACAAAGCAATCCAGTTTCAAACGTTATCTTTGATCATTTTTATTCTTAACATTTGTCTGCATATTTGTTCCAGCAGTGGGATTCCCACAGAGCTATCAGCTGAAAAAAGATGATGCATCTCTAAGGTCTGGATTTTTTTTCTGTTTAGTAAATATTTCAGTGTTTTATTCAGTAGATGAAGCATCTCACATCCGCTTTTGCATCATTCACTGGAAGCACACAGCAAACGTGTCATGGTCAGATACAAGAACTGGACAGAAAATAAGAAATTTGTCATGAAATAAGGGTCATGTTTGCAAATGAAAACATGTCCTCAGACATTTTACCTGGTAAAATTCTGGTTGAAATTCTAGGCAGCCTTCAGCATCATTAGTGTTCATATTTTTAGCTCTTTTTCTCTACCGATGCATCACCGGTAAAAAAAATATCGAATATATATAATTTCATGTTTTCATTTACAAACATGACCTGGCCAAGATGGTGGTGGTAGCGCAACAACAAACAATTACATCTAAGTATATAAAAGAAAGGAAAACTGATGACAAAAAAGGTGAAACATAATAAAAAGGGCAGATATTAGAACTTTCCTTAATCAAAAATTGGATAATGTTGGCAAAATGTTATAGGACCACAGAAAGTTCTGTGTGAAAAGGAATGAACAAATTTATGAAACTCTTATGTAAATAAGAGGGATCCAGATGGTTCACTGGAGCAGTAGTCAACTATACAATTTGAAAGTTGTAATCGATAATACATTTGGGGCAGCAGTAGCTCAGGTGGTAGAGTGGAGGGTCATGGGTTCGATTCCAGCTCCCGCCAGGGGTATCCTGCATTTGTGTCCTTGGGCAAGACACTTCACCCAACTTGCCTGCGTTAGTGGTGGTCAGAGGGGCCGACGGCGCCAAATGGCAGCCTCGCCTCTGTCAGACCTCCCCAGGGCGGCTGTGGCTACAAGTAGCTTACCATCACTAGCAGTGTGTGAATGTGAGAGTGTGTGAAAGCATCTTTGGGTGTCTAGAAAAGCGCTATATAAGTTCAATGCATTATTATTACATTTAAGGGTGTTTTCTAAATAGTTCCAGCAGTGCCTCCAACAGAAGAGTTTCATAAGTGTGGTCATGGGACCAGAGGAAATTTTGGGGTGGCACACTAAATTGATCCTCGTGGTAACGCTGGGAAATTTTAGCCTGTAGGGAACCAATAAATGCTCCTTTATTCATTTTCATTAAAAAATTAAATATGCATCCAATACACATCAAATTTGAAAAAAAAAAAGAAGCCAGTGGGATGGCCAGCTATTTTATAGGGAGGCCATGGCCACCCCTGACCACCCCTTGGACCACCACTTGGATGCATTCCAGACATAATTATTGTCAAATATGTTATTTTTTAAGTTTAATAACACAATAAATGTATAATTGGTCGTTAAAGAGCAAGTCACCCCCTAATGTTACTCTGCTCCCACTTCCTGTTTGAAAAATGCAACAAATGCTGTTGCCTAGCAGACCAAGAGGGCGGAGCCGCTAACAAATACACACACACAGGCTCACAACGACATTGTGACATCATATGGTCCAGCTAACATCCTAGGGTACCTCTTAGCCAAGAGCGATGGCAGATTTAAATTCAAATGCAGTGCAGAGTTTTTCCTGAAAATGACACAAAACCAACAGTTTTAGGCAGAAAATTTAAGTTTTAACTAAAATGCACTAAAGGGCAAAACTATTGACTACACATGTCTGCAGCACGATTGGACACGCATTTATATAGTTTATTAGAAAAAAAGTTGATTTGGGGGTGACTTGCTCTTTAAATCTTTCACTGTCCATTTTCTAAGGTGAAAATGACTCATGATGCTGATTCTGCTGCAATGTGACTCATCAGGCCGTAAAGCATTATAGTAGTAGAGCCTATCACTGTAAAAAGAATAACCTCACTGAAATTAAGAAATTTGATGTCCAATTTTCACAATCAAAATATTTGACCTCACAGAAACTAAATGCATTCACTTAATATGACCTGATTGTTTTATACTGATCTCAGTAAACCATATTACTTCAGTTGACCAAACCTTAATTTTTTGACTTGATCCAAATGAATTTCTTCACTGTATTTTAATCATTGAACCAAACAAATATTTTATAATTGAACCAACCTAATGTATTTACATTCAACCAACTTAACATAACTTCACAGGGTTACATTGACACTAATTTGCTCATAATCAAACTCTGTTTTCACAGCAGAAACATTGAACAATGCTAGCTAACTCATGTTTCATACACCTGCAAACAGCAAGTGAGAATGAAACACAATGAGCTATAATAAAGTGTGAAAACTCACTTTAAATTGAACAGAAGATAGGCACAACATCATTCCTCCGACCAACCTCCTCAAAGTGCCAACATGTCATAACAAGTAACGCCACATTTGCAACTGTGAATGAAACATAAGTACAACACAACCCCCCAATCTAAACATGCATAAACATCAGAACATGACTACCCACAATGCACCTCACCCACTGCAGCTCCCGTGGGTGTTCACGTGCAAATCACGTTTGCCTCAAAATAAAAATATGATCTGCTGAACATGAACAGAAGTATTCGTTTTGAGTGATGTCAAAAACTTTGTGTTGATTGGTTTAAATGGATATTTATGGTTTAAAATGAACAAGGAAAGAGTTTCACAATCAAAACAAAAATGTATCATGTTTTAAAAGAAGTTATTAGATTGAATGCAAACCTGCGTGTCAGGCTTGTGCACAATACTTCTTGCACATCTCTTTGTTAACAAGAAATCTCTATGTTACATTTAAAAACAACCTGAGAGTCAAACCCAGTTTTTGCTGCAGCTGTAAAGGAGCTGTCCGGTGCTGAAAACACAGCAGTTAGAATAAAAAACAATTTGATCCACAACCTGACCTTAAATCAGCTTCAGCCCATCTCTACAAGAGGAGGGGTATCAACAAATCTCTGAAGCTGGAGTGTGTGATCATTGTGTGTGTGTGTGAGTGTGTGTGTGTGTCTACACATGTCCCTGATGGTGACGTGTTCCAGATTAATCGGTCTGTTTATAATTAGATCCGTGAAGTATTTTTGGTGGGTTGTGCTCTGCTCCTGCAGGACTGATCTTTGGTTTCTCACTGCCACCTTGTGGACTACTTACTTCCGGTGCCAGAATGTCGCAGGTTATATCTTTACCTTTGTACACCTGTCGGTATGCACACAAAGAATAAAAACCTATGCTTGTGACAGGCGATCATGACGCACTTCTGTAAAATTCTGAGTGGGGTTTGCTGTTTCAATGCGTTCATAACAAAAAAGAAAGAGGACTCATGGCGATGGAGAGGTAGAAGTGAATAATGGCATCAATTAAATGAGTGTTTAGGCTCGTGATTGTGTCTCCTCCTCGCTTTTCTCCCCTCCGCATAAGAACTAAACCAGATCTCCTCCCCCTCTTCCATCCTGATCCCTCCTCGCGCGCCATGTGTTGTTCATAAAGCATCAAACTTCATGCCCGTGACCGAGATTACAACCAGAGCTGAAGAGGACAATCAGCACTTAAGGAAAAAAAGTCGCACTTTTGGGGCCAAGAGCGGTGCCATTTGGTGCCAAACGCGCAGACAGGCTGCAGACGGCTCTGCTGCCGCACCGAGACGGAGACGCCGCGACTCAGTGGTGCGCAGAGACACCATAAAGAGATTTTTTTCGTTGTTGTTAAAATAAAAAGGCAACTCAAAGCCAGTTCTTCCACAACAAGGTCACCTTGAGAGGGATTTAAAGGAGCAATCAGCTGTGTTTGTCATTTTTGCTGTGGAGAGGGAGCGCAGCAGTCTCTCCTTCTGGATTTTATTGCACATAAATTCACTTTCTTGCATTTTGGGACTGCACCTGTGTCACCTGGACACGCCATCACGGTGAGCGCATTATTAGATTTGCCTTGCTAAACATTTAACACAAAAATAAACTTGTAATGGAAGATGCTCTAACAGGTGTTTTTTTACTGCTCCTTAAGAAGACATGATTTCATTTTGTTTTTCGAAACCCTCATTTGGTTAATTTGTGCAACCTTGAACTTGATATTATTTATTCACGTGGACAGATTATTTTAGGCCACCGCTGTGAATGAGAATATGAAAATTGCCTCTATTGCAAAGATTTTGCCTAACTAGCTGCAGCTTGATGATTAGATCAGTTCAGAGCTTTTGTTTGTGCAGAGATGCTTTAAGGGTGTTGCTCTCAGAGGTAAAATAATTATTGACATTAAAATTGAATGCATCCTGAATCTGAGCTCGTGAGGCAGACTTCCCCTTGTCTGAACAGGTCTGTGTGAAGTTTAGCGTCTATTTTATTGTGATAGATAGAATTTAAAACAATTCTCCCAATGGGGCGAGGGGGTTCTGCCAGTAAACCTCACTTTTCCCCCTCGGTAGCCCTGATAGATTTTTTGGGTGGTGGCAATAAAGAAGAAAAAAGTGACCAGGCTTTTTGGAGGTGAAGACTTTGGCTCAGGGTCTCAGGGAGTGATGGCGTCTGCACCCTCCTCCTCCTCCTCCTTTGGCGGCGAAGCGGATCCAAACGCGACAAATTTACGGCCGCCAGGCTCAAGTAGGTCCATCACAGATAAAATGCTATTTTCACTTGTGCTATTTACTTTGTGGGCAACGCCATTAATCATTTTCATTGAGGGGGGGCAGAGGGGTGGCGGTTCTGCTGCCTTTTGCCACAAATCACCGCAGCATTTCATTCATCTGGACCCCCAAGTATCTGGACTGATCTCAGATATTATTATTATTATTATTATTATTGCATAAATACATGTACTTTTCAGTATGTTATCTTTATATTTGTATACATATTTTTGGCTTCGCATCCTAGAATTTAAGTGCTTGCATGGGGAAAAAAAGGAAGATTGCCTCTGAAGTGCCTGTTAATTCACCCATATAGACTCTAATGGCACTCGAGCCTTTGGGCAGGGGCACTGTGCAGACCACTGAGGACCTTTGTATTATCAGCTGGTAGCAAAATGCTTCCTTATACAATGAAAATTCTGTTTTCGCAGTGAAAACACCCAAAAATATAGGTTTTAACAGATACAAAAAACCTTCTTGACTTCTGCAGCGAGCTGATTTTACCACACCGTGGAGCGGTTGTGTTGCACACTGATGTGTGTCTGATTAAAAGCAATGATCACGTCCCATTAGGCCCCATTGCCCGCTTAATAGCTGCATGTCTACAAATGCATCTGGTCTGAACTCTGCACATCTGCTGTTGTCTCCTTCAGGGGGGTAAAAAAGGTGCGTTTATAGTGAGCTGCATGAGCAGTGGGGGCAATGATTTATCTAATGATGCAAAAAGGAGGTTAAATTGCTATGTTGGAATAGGATTGATCCTCCCCCTTCCCTCCCTCCACCTCCCCCTCTCCCAAATTGAGGCTTTGGGGTGTTTAGATTCCCCCCACCCCCTGTCAGGCTGGAAGCCATTGATAACGCAGTGACTCTCCGTATCTGTCACGGCCAGCCGGCTCGTGTCGAGCCATGCTCGCCTATAACCGGCATCTTTTCACTCTATTAGATCTGCAGGCGCGGATTTAAACGTCTAATTAATCTGGAGGCCTGCGAATGATGGAGGGTGACACACAGAAGCAGATCCAGACTGACACAAGCCCATTCAGCACCTCCATTTCATTTTTATTGTTGAATCAGAAATATTACAGATTGGATGTAATAAAACATTGTTTTTTAAAATAATAACAGGCTATGATGCGTGGTGTGGAGTTGCTCATGGATGTACCCGAAAATTGGGAATGAAAATATGTGGTAAGTGACATTATTTACCCCAAAATAAGATTATTGACCTTTCTGAACTTTATTCTCTTACCGTTCTGTGATAGTAACATCTTGAATGTTGGACAAATCTGCATAAAATAATTATCATAATTCGATTTTACTCAACAATTATAACGATTTAGTAAGATGCTTTCCTGATTTGTTTTGTTTTTCCTGAGGAGATGAAAGAGGAAATTATGTGGGGATGGATTTTCCATTTTCCCCTTTCAGAGTCTATTCCAGTCTGATTGTGACTAACCAAGGGCAAACCTGACATCTACCATTATGGTGAATGTCACGCACCAGTGCGCGAGCAGTTTTCTGGTATTTTCCACTTTCTGCTGGTTTCATTAATGATTCTTAACTGGTAATCCGCCTGATTAAATCAAAGACAAATGATCACATCAGATTAATAAGGAGGGAAAACACAACTAAGAAAGACAAATGATCACATCAGATTAAGAAGAAGGGAAAACACAACTTGTGGGATTTTCCGATGAGAATATTTTTAATTTCTCACATTTAGGCCTCATATTTTCACAGCGGCCCTTGTATTTAATATGCGCTTTTTACGCACCGAGGCGCAAAAATGTCCATTTTTTAGCCAAACACGTGACCGCAACTAGTTTTTGCTTGACTGGAGTTCGGTGCTGATGTCACCGGGTTAAACCTCCCACTCCAGCCTATAAATAGGGTCGGATGGCTCCTCTTCCTCACACTAAAACAGAGGAAGTGCGGATCAGCAGTGGAGTTGGATCGCCACAAGAGGTTGGGGACACGGTGCAGATTTCAACATGTTCAATAATCACTCCCCGGACTCCTCTCCGTCTCTAGGATTCCTGCAGAAGAACAACAGTTTGGAGGAGAGGAGCAGGATCGTGAGCTCCATCAAGGAGCGCGCGACCAAAGATCTGCTGTCCTGCGATAACACCGGAGGGGACGCGCGGTTTAAGCGCATAGAGACCGACTTCTCCAATTTGTATGCCAGAGGTAGGGCCAGAGAAATGCTAACTTGTTGCCTTTCATTTGATTTTTTTTAGATAAATGCCTCCAAATGTGTGAAAATTACAGTCTGAGTTTAAAGAAAAGGCCCCACATAAATAAAAAATAAGATAAATGGGAATTATTTATGAAATAAATGAAAGAAATAAAAAAGCAAGCAAAAATAATAAAAAAAATAACTACAGGAGACAAATTATTAGAATATTTGATTCTTTTATAGAGCTTTTGCCTGCCAAAAATGGAGAAGAGCCCACCATGCAGTTCCTGCTGGAGGTGGTGGAAATCCTCACCAGCTACATCAAGAAGACTTTTGACAAATCCACCAAGGTCCTTGACTTCCACTATCCTCACCAGCTGCTGGAGGGCATAGAGGGCTTCAGTCTGGAGCTGCCCGACCAGCCCGAGTCTCTGGAGCAGATCCTGGTGGACTGCAGGGACACCCTGAAATATGGCGTGAGAACAGGTAGGGTATACCTACTGATGAATAACTAACTCCTGGTTATCTCACAGCTGTGTTTTTTCTGAGGGTTTGACTCTGTATCAATCCCAGGCCACCCCAGGTTCTTTAACCAGCTGTCTACTGGAATAGACATCGTGGGATTGGCGGGAGAGTGGCTCACTTCCACAGCCAACACAAACATGTGAGTAGAAATCACAGCCGATCAGCTCTTATTTGTTTTTCAGCTCGGAGGAACACTTACAGTGTCATGTAGTAATTACTGTCCTCGGTTGGAAAAGAAAAACGCTCTAAAAGGCTGTCAGTCAAACAAGGAAATAAAGAACACAAAGCAGGACATCGGGGCAGACACACCCCGGTTCAGTGTTGTCGATATACACGACTGTTGGGAGGTGGGTGCATAACTCAGCCCTGCAGGGAAACTAAATTGCATATTGATTAGCATTCAGAGTTTACACGGTGTCTTTGTTTCGTGTTATGAGAGCTCCTGTGATATAACACAGACAGGAAGGAGCTTCCATATTTGGAAGATAGGAGCAGAATTTATTAATAGGATGTAAAATCTGTTTATTGCCTTATTTTGTCTCATTCTGCAGGATAGGCATCTCATTTTGGGAATCTGGAGCTCCCAAATTTGGGAAATGAGAGATATCACAAATAAATTCCATAAAGATCAATCAACCTATGAATGTTTGCAGACACTAAAAATCATTTAATTTGGATAACATGCAGAGAATCAAAGCATTGTAATATTTTGTTGTTGCTCATTAAATAAAACACCCATCAGTTCATTAGTCAATAATCTATTAAGGGCTCGTTGGAAAGGAGCAGATACTTCACCATAAACTAAATTTATTTGCAACATTTTTTTTATCGTGGCTGAAAGTTGATGAAGGGTTTTCTCATTGAGCCTCTTTAAAAGGCTGTTTGTCACCACTAATGCGTTCATTGATATGTAATCAGTGATTTACTAGTTATTTACAGGTTGTAAACTTCCATGAGAAATCCTGGATTTTCTGTTTTAATCGAAGGCAGTGGAAACTCACGTGATCTAATCATGGGTCATGGAGTTTGCATGGCTGCTGGACAGGTTTTAGGATGTAAACGCCTCGTCCATCCTGTGAGTCATTTGGGTTGTTGTGTAAATGAGGTATTGCATCACATGAATGCTTTTTGGGATGGGTGCAACCCAGCCACCTCACCTTCTCAGTGTTTTTCCATTTGTCTTCTCTGCACAACATGTGAACTTACTTTCCTCGAAAGGAGCTTGGCTTATCTCTGAGATGGATACCATTATTTTTGGAATCTTTGGTGCATAGACCTTATTCTGTGCTTCAACTGGGCTGGCATTGCGTACCGGGACTTTTTTGTGTTGCTTTTACAACCACATATCTGTCAAAATCTTTAAAATTATTATAAAATGTCCGTCTCCAGGTAAACAACAACTGTCCACAGTCCAACCCACTCTTCCAACGGGCCATTCCCATCTGTGCCTGGTCGGCCCTGCCTGGATAGCTCCAGTCGGCCCCAGCCTGGCCTGGCTGATTCCACACATCCTTGCTTAGGTATGCAAGGAATGTAGTCATTTCAGCTTCTAGGTAATCAGCATGATAATGAATTGAGCATGCCTTAAGCACATGTGGGCTGATTCTACCCACCAATCAGAGGCTTGCTCTACTGAAAGGTTTGAATTTGCTGACTGATTAGCTGGCTTATCAGTCAGCAGTGGGGGGTGTTGACCCTGGTCAGCCTGAAGCAGACCACCTCAGAAAGAGGGCTGAAAAACAGTCTCGTTGCACCCTGAAAAAAGGCAGGCCACCAAGATATGTAAGCAACCTATGCTATCCGGGCCGGGCTGACCAGGTACAAGATGGGAATGGCCCACTAACAGAAGTTCCCCTGCTTGTACAACCTGCCCCCCCCCCCCCCCCCCCCCCAAAAAAAAAATTACGCCCTTGCTCGACCTCATGCGCAACCCAACTCTCAGGAAAAATCGTAGAATTGTGGAGTATTGTGATTTTTCCCAAAAAAGACTTGTAACCCCTGAAACTCTGGACTCATGATCACATCTAGAGGGGCATTTCAGGTGAGAGGTTCAAGAGTCTGATTGGTCTTCGCAGAAGTGACCTGAAACAGATTGGTTGGTCATCAAGATTTTTTCTCCTGCAAGTTTTAATTGTTCCCTTCCTCCAACCCACCTGAGCCAAATGATTAAATCGTCTTATCAGCCAGTTCTATAGAATTTAATGAGGCATCCATTTAAATCAGGTGTTCTGGACATGCAGGACAGTGGACATTGAGGAACACAGATTTTGGGACCAACAAAACTGTTACCTTTTATGAGCATCACAGTGGATGACTTGAACACGTGGGAGGTTTTTTCCACTAATTAATCTTTATTAATTAGTGCATCAGCCCTAATTATCTCAGCTGATATTGACTGACACTGATAGGCCCTCAGTCACATCCACGCTTTACATGATCAGACTTATCTGAATGAGAGCACTGAAGTAACATTTGACATCTGTGGGGTGAATTCTGACTTGTTTACTTTGGTCCTGCATGTGATGCACAATGCAGCACGCTGGGATCATCTTGTTCTTTTGCTCCCTTTGCATAAATAAACCAGAAAATAAAAAGAATGTTTATGTAGAGGTGATGCTCATGCAGTTTCTGCTTTATGAAGATAAAAAATAAATTACGGCACATGGTTTTGTGAGCCCAGCAGCAGGCCATTATTCTAGAACAACTTTTATGAAGGGAATTATTTTAAAGTGTGCATATTGTTGGTATTTATTGGGTCTCAGAGAGTAAAGAAATATACTTTGTTGAATAATTATGTAACTTTCAGTGAGTTAAGTGTGCATCAAGACAATAAGCAGGATTCAACAAAATAAGCACAGAAAGTTGAGATTTACATTTCACAGTTTGGTTATTTTGTCTGTTTTAGGTTTACATATGAGATTGCCCCAGTTTTTGTGCTGATGGAGCAGCTGACGCTCAAAAAGATGAGGGAGATCGTTGGCTGGCCAAACGGAGAAGGCGATGGAATATTCTCTCCAGGTAAATCAAAGCTGGAAATTAGTATTATTACTACAAAAAAACCAAAATATTTTAATTATTGTAAAAAGTGAAGTGGTCAAATAATGAGATGAGTTGCAAACAACTCTGAATGGTGCGAAGTAGGAAACAAAGGACTGGTGTTGCTGACAAAGAGCCGATGAAGGCTGTAGGTAAACATGGAAGAGCAAACACTGCATGAAGGACGGGGGGTTGCAACAGCAAACAGGACACCAGGAATCACAGATTCCCAACATGTTATTACCACTAGACATAAAGTAGAGGTTGCATTTATGCAATACGGAATTTCTCCATTAAAAGGGTCAAAATCAAAGACCAATTTGGTTTCATGAAGCAAAACGGCAATTTTCATCAAGGGAATATGGTGCAGCTCAACTGATAGCTGCTTTCTGACCTTCTGAAGCAACGATAATGATCAAGGTTTGCTTGTGAGAAATTAGTCTAAGCTTACATAGTAAGTACATTTTGTTCATATAGCACTCATCACAGAAAGATATTCTCAAAGTGCTTCACAAAGACCAACAAAACAAGTCATAGTCATTAAATCGTAATGATTTTAAAAGAAAACAAAACAACAAACATCAAATAAATTAAAATCCGAAAAAATAAAGCCACAAAGATATAAAATGGTCATAAATGTCATTAAACAAATGAAAGAGGATTATGAATTTGAGTTAAAAATTGAAGAAAAACAAAAGATTTAGGTAAAAGCAGCTTTAAATAAAAGGGTCTCCAGCTGCCTTTTACAGCGAAGTGTTTGATTTAACATTTAGTTTCAGGAGGTCATATACAAAGATGCAGTCACTGTGGTAACCAGAGTGGAAAAGCAAAATCTGGGGTGTCCACACTTTTCAAGACAATTGCCAGAAGCATCAAGTTAGAGTTCTCTGTGGGCCACACAAATGTGATTTAATTTTGTATGTTTATGTTTCAAAAATGCAAAAATCATTTTATGATGAATTTTTTTGTGCTACTCAAAAAATACGCCTCATATTAGTAAAACCCTGAACATAACAATGGTTAATAGCCCTCAGCATCCTGCTGGAGAGATTATTTTCCGCCAGTCTAGAAATGCAATCGGGATCAGTAGAAAATAACTCTGAGGGCCACATGGACATACATGATCTGAAGAAAAAACTACAGGCAGTCATGAAATATTAACAGTGGAGAAAAAAATAAAATAAAATCAGATTTTCTAAGTGCAAAAATATTTAATCTAAAGTTTAAATTAATTTTTCATTTTCAATATAAAGAATCCACCATTCCTTCTCTGTGTCTCTGCTGGTCTCGTCAGGAGGAGCCATTTCCAACATGTACAGTGTGATGATCGCCAGATACAAGTACTTCCCCGAAATCAAGACCAAAGGCATGGCGGCTGCACCTCGGCTAGTGCTCTTCACGTCGGAGCTGGTGAGTTCAAAACTCCCATCTATCAATGATTGACTGAGATTATAATTTATGCCTGATTTGTTGTTGATCTGTTTCTGCAGAGCCACTACTCCATCAAGAAGGCGAGTGCAGCGCTGGGATTTGGGACAGACAACCTGATCCTTCTAAACACAGACGAGAGGTTTGTTTAGTGTTAAACCTGCGGTGTGTGCTCAAACTCTGGTAAAAACTGGTTTTTAAGTCAACTTTGCGTTTCTTCTTATCCAGAGGAAGAGTTATTCCTGCTGATTTGGAGTCCAAAGTAACTGAGGCCAAACAAAAGGTGAATGTTTCCTACAATCTCTGCCGCAGAACTAAAAGAAGTTGCAGCAAAGCTACTTCAACAAAACCCAACGTTCCTCTTCCACTTGTGATTCTGCCGCTGTCTAAATGTTCTCTCCTGGAAGCAATTTCTGAAAGTGCTGCAAAGATTGGAGAGAAGTGAAAAGAACAGAGTAGAAATGCAATTTTTCCTCCAGGGAATGAGGGCAGAAAAAAGAGGAATGCATTACCCAGAATTCCTGTTTCATCTTGTTCTTGTGTTCTTGCCTGCAGGGATACGTTCCGGTGTATGTGAACGCCACCGCAGGGACCACCGTGTTCGGAGCCTTTGACCCCATCAACGACATCGCAGACATCTGTGAAAAGTACAACATGTGGCTTCATGTGGACGTAAGCAAATATTAATCATCTCCATCACATACACTTACGGGTCTGTTTTGATGTTGTGGTGTTCTATAAAACCTGCTGCGTTGTGCAGGCTGCATGGGGAGGAGGTCTGCTGATGTCCAGCAAACACAGACACAAGATGAGCGGAATCCACAGGTAAGAAAACAGCTCAAGATCATCCAGGATGGATGAAAAATCAGCAGAATTACTTGGAAAGGAAACTGCTTAAAGTTTTGTTTAATATGTGAAAATGATTCAAAAGAAAATTCATTACTAGGAGCATTGTCGAATCAATATGTGCAAGCCCCCCACCTTCAAGAGAGAAAACAGGGCCAAGCAAACATTATTTCGCTTATCACAGGCAGCCTGTCAACCATGTAATAGAACAACCAGCAATAGATTTTGGGTGAGGTCAGAAAACAGCAGCGGAAGTAAAAAATAAAATCAAAAATAAACTTTATGCAAGAGGAAAGAAATAAACTTCAAGGTTGAAAAATAAAGGTAATGAGAATAGATTCTTTATTGGCCTGCAGCTACTGTGGATAAATACTTTACTTTTCCCTCATGAGAGATAAAAATGCTAATGCTGTTTCTGTCTGTGCAGGGCTAACTCAGTCACCTGGAACCCTCACAAGATGATGGGAGTGCCTCTGCAGTGTTCTGCCATTCTGGTCCGAGAGAGGGTGAGTCTGCATGGTCCTCCCATCTCTGCTTTTCCTTCTCATGCTCAAAATAAGTTTTGATAAAAGGACGAACAACTAAGTCCTTCAGGGGTACTTCTGAGTTAAAAAAAAAGTCATGAAATACGTTTGTGGAGTAACCAGGTGGGTAGATTTTAACGTTGTAAATCTGCAACGCTAGAGGGTTAATATTGTTTCTCCTGCAGGGGCTGTTGCAAGGCTGCAACTCCATGTGTGCAGGTTACCTCTTCCAGCCAGACAAACATTACGATGTCACGTACGACACAGGAGACAAGGCCATCCAGTGTGGACGACACGTCGACATCTTTAAGTTTTGGCTCATGTGGAAGGCAAAGGTGTGCCTTTCTCCGCTGTTAGTCACTGCTTCTGTCTGCCGTGCTGCCACATGTTTGACTGCAGCAACTTTTTTTTCCTTCTTCCTAAAAGGGAACGGTGGGATTTGAGCAGCAAATTGACAAGTGCCTGGACCTGTCAGCATACCTCTACAGTAAAATTAAAAACAGAGAAGGCTTCCAGATGGTGTTCAATGGAGAGGTATGATGAAACTAAAAGGTTGCGTCAACATCCAAAAATCATCAAATAAAATTAGGATTTAGATAAAACCTTGAGGTTCAGGATTGATTGGAACATTTTGCGGTGACAAGAAGGGCTAACAAACGTATTACAAATGCTGTTTTGTCTCATCAGCCACAGCACACTAATGTCTGCTTTTGGTACCTTCCGCTGAGCCTGCGCCACTTGCCCGATGGTGAGGAAAAACGCGAGAGACTGCACAAGGTAATGACTCGTTAATGTGCATTAAGCCTCATTTCTGCTCCTCCTCTTGTCTCCCATTGATTTCAGACACACTAATTCACCCAAACACACTTGCATGTTTAGTGCTTTGAGTAGATGTTCAGCTGGTGATTGTATTATGGTTGCTTCAACAGGTGGCTCCAAAGATCAAGGCGATGATGATGGAGTCGGGCACCACGATGGTGGGTTACCAGCCACAAGGAGACCAGGTCAACTTCTTCCGCATGGTGATCTCCAACCCTGCTGCCACCAGGTCAGACATTGACTTCCTGGTTGAGGAGATCGAGCGGCTGGGCCAGGACTTGTAGAGCTAACCCTCGTGTATTTTCCAACTTTGAGCCTCAAGCTTGGCTTTTTGTCCCTCCATCTTATGTCGACGTCGACATTTTTGCCCATAGATCGTCATGGCGATGAACAGTAACAAACCCTGTGTGCTTCTGCCTTTTCTGTATTTAGCTGTATTTAAAACATTTGCACACAAAGATAGATTAGAAAAGGAAAAAGTTAAGCACATTCTTGTTTAGATTAATGACAAATGGGACTAAATCACATCGTTAGGGTTTAACTTTAATTGATAATTTAATTTGTTGTCCTTAAATTGTTTCCATAAGAAGTGGAGACATTTTGGAAAAACTTTGAAGTTTGAGCGATAAAAAAGCATGCAAACATGTTCAGTATGAGATAAACTGTTACACTCTAAAAAATAAAGGCTGGCTTTACTTAGCCTTGTCATGTAAACTGGTTCCATTAAACCCAGTGCATTAATGCATTAATGCAGAGTAATCTGAGAAAAAGCAGAAAACCAGTGTTGGAAATATTGTAACATCTAGGATAAAACTGAAGAAACATCATGGTAAAAATAACAGATTTGTTGCTTGTAAAGAAAAGAGAATCTAAAAATGTAACTCTGGGTTTAAAGGATTTGGATCTGATGCACTCGCACTTTTTTGGAAACATTTAAACATCGTGCAACTCTGAGAAATGTTTTTTAGTTTATCAGTACTGGAAACAGAATCGCACACAAATTTTTTTCCGCACGGAATATTTTATCATTTCACCCAAAACTGTATTGATACACACAAATAATATGTAATTCTAAGTATCTGTGACGTAATTGTTAAACCATTTGCACCACAGCATCACCGCTGGAACAGACTGCTGTGTTTTTAGACGTTTCTGTAAAGTATTGTTAACATTGCCTTTGTGCGAAATGTGTCCTAGTTTTACAGCAGACAAATCCTATTGATAAAACAGCCAAAACAACACTATATAACAGATTGATGACTTCGTTTATATGACTTATTGTGAATAGATGATCTGCTCCTCCATCACATTTCAGTTTTTATTTTTGCTTTTTGAGTATTTGTGAACCAAAGAAGAGTTAAGTTACATTCTTGTGTGTGGCCCGATGTTTGTGTAAGAACGCTGCCTTTTCATTTAGTGCAATCGTGTAACTGTGCAATGTCATGGTCAGATTGACTGCAATCCGACTGCCAGTGCTTTGTTAAAGATTAGGTAAATCATGTTAATGGGCAGCTTTTGTTTTCTGGACACATGATTGTCTGTATCATAGTGTGTGAAAATGGAGTAAAACTACAATATGCAAATTTTTGTTGGGTACAACATGCTTTCTATAGGCACATAAAAAAATCTTATGTGATGATTTTTCGTTCAGCATTTTGCCTGATGAAGGAAATGCAATATTTGTTCTTGAACTAGAATTAATTAAACATTCCTGATTTATTGGGATGAAACATTCCTTGTAGTATTACAGAATTATATAACTGGTGTACCAATAAACCAATAAAAATGTGAGCATATTACTGGTATTTTGTAGTTTTTTTTTATTTTGAAGTTATTTTAAAATACTCCTCAGCCAGAATTTCCCTTTACAACAAACTGTTCTTTACTAAAAGAGACATTTTATGCAAAACATACCTTTTGCGTCTTTTGTGCTGCAATATGGGTCTCCGCTGCCTCTGTAAACACTTCAAACCCAATGTGATAAAAAAAAAATCCCAAATCCTTCCGTTTACTGTTAGTGTTTGGATTCATGAATTATGTGCCTCAAGTTCCTGTTTGTGATGTCACAAATGGGGAAATCAGAATAGGACCCCTCATCCCCCACTCACCTTTCCAGGCTGGAGGAGCGGCTCTACTCTAAACTGATCTACTCAGAGCTTCTCAGCTTATAGCAGCCTGACAAATGTTTTCAGACTTTTATTGTGTATCTATTACATTCTGATATGAGACCCAGATACACTTTGTCAATTTTCTTGAAAAAGAAAGAAACAAAATGTAAAATTGTTTAATATTTGATCACATTTATTTTTTTAATCCATATTTTTTCTTTTAGACTGAGTATAGTTAAAGTGATATTCTACCCCTAATTGAAATGTTGTCTATTTCTGTACTCCCCAGAAAAAGCATTTTGTAACCAGTGCAGTAATTCTCCTGGTCTGGAAGCAGTCCGTCAGCTTTAGCTTAGCATAAACAACGGACCGCTGTGTCATATCCGTGTGCTATGCAGCGGCGGCTCACCGTGCTGCTTTGTTGTAATGTTACTTTTTACTTTTCATTTGCAGTCGACATGATTATGGAGCTCACCAGGAATAATTGGTATCATTATTGAGTAATTTGAATCACTTTTGCACACAAAATGCTATTTTCTGCTATAGTTTGTGCTAAGCTAAGGCAGACGGAATACTGCCAGACCAGGAGAATTATTGCGCTGGTTACAAAATGCTTTTTTCTCATTTATCTAACTCTGGAGAATACACAAATAGACTAATTTTCACCTAGGGGTGGACTATCCCTTTAAGTAGATTCATTTGGAATGTTTAGTGTCTTTGGCTATATAAAAGAGAATTTTTTCTCTTTGCTGAGTTATAAAAACACAGTTTGCTGATCTGTACCATTCAGATCTGTGTCATTAAAAAAAACAACCTTAAACTACTTTTATTGTATTAAAAATGCAATGCATGCAGGAGAACAATCACAGTGCTGTGGAAACATTATTAAATCTGGAATACAAAGTCCTGCAACAAGCCTGGGTAAATATGCATGCTTTCTATCTAAATATTTTGTATCCTTTTTTAAAATCTTTTGAGTCCACTTAGCCCATTACCACCATTAGTCAGATTAATCACCCCCAGAGGGACTATTTTATTAGCTGATCACCTCACAACTGACATTCTTTCCCCAATACCCTCATTTCCCTTCTTTTGTCATAAAACTCATTCAGCTGTGATCCCTTAAGATTGTCTCCCCTCTTGAAGCTTATTCCAAGGATCTGCCTCGCTGTGTTTTATTCCAATGCACTCATAGGAAGATCGACTGACTGTTTGAGTGGCTCACCTCCCTTCCTCCAGCGGGCAGATGCTATTTCTTTGTTTCATGCTTCAGTGCAGCGATCATTACAGACCTGATGTCAGCTCTGTGAAGCTGCAGAGGACTGAAGGAAAAATCATTCTGAAATAACCTTTGACTTTTTGCTACATTTACTGGCAGGGTAATTAGGCCCGAGCAGCGAAAGCGCTGCGAAGGCCTCTTGTTTTTGCTCTGATTATTATTAGGCCCGAGCAGCGAAAGCGCTGCGAAGGCCTCTTGTTTTTGCTCTGATTAGGCCCGAGCAGCGAAAGCGCTGCGAAGGCCTCTTGTTTTTGCTCTGATTAGGCCCGAGCAGCGAAAGCGCTGCGAAGGCCTCTTGTTTTTGCTCTGATTATTATTATTTTTTGTTATTCCGTGCCCCCTTTGAACAGCTTTTTGGGGACCTTAACATACCCCAAAACTCACAATATTTTGCACACTTGTCAGGCCTGGTGAAAAATTTGATATTTTAAAGGTCCCAAAAAAATCGCAAAGAAAATGGCTGAACAGCGCCCCCTACAAAGTGAAAAAAACCCCTCTCCATAAAGCTTAGTTTATCGTACAGTTATGAAATTTGGTACACTTGTAGTACTCAACAGTCCGCACAGAAAAGTCTCTTGCAACCATGGTCAATATCAAACAGGAAGTCGGCCATTTTGGGTTGAAATGGCGATTTTTTGCCGTTTTTGCCGTTTTTAGGGTCCGTTTCTGATTGGATTGCTCGATCATTTTTCGCACGATCGTCTCAAAAATTGTGTAAAATTGCTCAGAAGGGATGGGCGAACAAAATGAGATAAGGATTCTGAGTTTTCGTATATGTTGAAGGGGCGGAGCCAGGCCTCGAAGTTTGACTACTCGCCAAAAATATTTAAATTGCTATAACTTCATAACTGAATGGAATAGAGTTACCAAACTTTCTGTGGTCATTCGTCATCCACCCACAAAGTAAATTGAAAGGTCGGATGATGACATCACACAAGCCCCGCCCCCTCAGGACCAAAAAGATCAAGTTTTACTGTGAAAGGTCCCAAATTGCCCCATTTCACTTAATCACCACAAATTTGTAGCTGGTAACTCAAGACAAGTGGGGGTTGCTTGGCGTCACTTTATGGGAGTTTTCGGCAGAGGGCGGGGCTGTGGTGGCGCGGCGAATTCAGGCGTACCGCCTTGGCCTTACGTTTGCCTCCCATTTCGTCATTTCCAAAGATATCGTCACGAAACTTCTTGTGAGTGATCCTAGTCCGGCCCCCCAAAAGATCTGATGTGAACATCTGGTGGGCGTGGCCTATTTTCTGAAATAGCGCCCCCTAGGACCATTAAAACTATTAGCCCCAAGCCATGCTTTGACTGAGGATTACGAAATTTGGTACACTAATGTGGTGTCTCAGGACCTACAAAAAAGTCTCTTGGAGTCAAGTTCAAAGTCGCACAGGAAGTCGGCCATTTTGGATCAAGTACGCGATTTAGTGGTTTTCGCACACGTTGTTTGGAGAGTGATGCTCCGTCGCCCTTTTCACCAATCTCCTTCAAACTTCTGCTATATACCCTTAAGACATAGGGGAAAAAATTCAACCGTCGGATTTTTCAAAAGTTGAAAGGTGTGGGCGTGGCTAAGCCTCAAACTTTGACCTGTTGCCACGCTACTCTTTTTTTCACAGCTCCCTACTGGACTCCTTTTACCCAATCACCAGGATTCTGTGGCAAACAGCAGTAGACAAGTTGAGGTTACTTGGTCTCCAGTACTGGCAGGTTTTGAAAAAAGGCGGGGCTTTGGGACCATGGCGAAAATCGCCATCACGCCATGGAAATACGTTTGTCTCTCATTTCTTCAGTTATCGTGATATTGCTACGAAACTTCTGGTGAGTGATCCTAGTCTGAGCTCCAAGAGAAATAGACAGCTGAATTTTGTGGGCGTGGCCTATGTTTTGAAATAGCGCCCCCTAGGACCATTTAAACTATTAGCCCCAAGCCATGCTTTGACTGAGGATTACGAAATTTGGTACACTAATGTGGTGTCTCAGGACCTACAAAAAAGTCTCTTGGAGTCAAGTTCAAAGTCGCACAGGAAGTCGGCCATTTTGGATCAAGTACGCGATTTAGTGGTTTTCGCACACGTTGTTTGGAGAGTGATGCTCCGTCGCCCTTTTCACCAATCTCCTTCAAACTTCTGCTATATACCCTTAAGACATTGGGGAAAAAATTTAACCGTCGGATTTTTCAAAAGTTGAAAGGTGTGGGCGTGGCTAAGCCTCAAACTTTGACCTGTCGCCACGCTACTCTTTTTTTCACAGCTCCCTACTGGACTCCTTTTACCCAATCACCAGGATTCTGTGGCAAACAGCAGTAGACAAGTTGAGGTTACTTGGTCTCCAGTACTGGCAGATTTTGAAAAAAGGCGGGGCTTTGGGACCATGGCGAAAATCGCCATCACGCCATGGAAATACGTTTGTCTCATTTCTTCAGTTATCGTGATATTGCTACGAAACTTCTGGTAAGTGATCCTAGTCTGAGCTCCAAGAGAAATAGACAGCTGAAGTTTGTGGGCGTGGCCTATATTCTTAAATAGCGCCCCCTAGAGCCATTAAAACTGTCAGCCCCAAGCCATGCTTTGACTGAGGATTACGAAATTTGGTACACTAATGTGGGGTCTCAGGACCTACAAAAAAGTCTCTTGGAGCCAAGCGTAAAGTCGCACAGGAAGTCGGCCATTTTGGTGCAAGTACGTGATTTAGTGGTTTTCGCACACATTGTTTGGAGAGTGATGCTCCGTCGCCCTTTTCACCAATCACCTTCAAACTTCTGCAATACACTCTTAAGACGTAGGGGAAAAAATTCAACCGTCGGATTTTTCAAAAGTTGAAAGGTGTGGGCGTGGCTAAGCCTCAAACGTTGACCTTTCGCCATTACTTTACTTGACTTAATAACTCCCATGTGCATGATCAGATCTTTTTCGAACTTTGTCTGTGTGATCATTGACCATATCTGTAAACAATGACAATGTGGACAGCTGACATCACCTAAGCCCCGCCCACTGACTACAGGAATTTATTTTTTATGCTGAAATGCCCATATTTGTCCCCTCTAATTTAGTCAACATGACCCTAAGGTCATGCACTGTCTTCATGATGCTGTAATGACCATTCAGATCTGATAGCTTTCCAGAAAGGGAGGGGCTTTGATGCCATGGCGAGTTCTGGCGTAACGCCGAAACCTTACAATTCAATTTAATGGTGAGCTCAGAGGGGATGCTAAGTCAGGGTGAGGTGCGGACTAGGAGGCCATTTGCGGTTTCTGGTGTCGGGGTGGTTGACGTTTCTGTTCTGCAAGACATGCCCTGGTGCCCCGGGCTGCCAGCCAGGCCGGAGCGGCGCGGAGCTGCGAGGGCCGAACGACGCTGCTTGCAGCTTTAATTAGGCCCGAGCAGCGAAAGCGCTGCGAAGGCCTCTTGTT